GGTACTAATGAGATGGCTTAATCTGATGTATAGACAAAGCTACCTCACAACAGGAAAACAGTCATATGATTATATGAATTATTTTTTTTTGTAAGAGTATACTTTTGACTTCAGACTGGTGAAATGACTCTTAGAGTCATCATGCTGTCAACAATAGGTATATAAGGTTAAGAAACAGACAAAACAGACAAATCATAGGGTATACTGAAAAATCCTAAACAGAACAATATTATTGGACATGCAAAGTAAAATGTTTTCACTAGTGCATTGCAAACATTGCAAACATTATGTTTAAGTTACTAGGTCTTCCACACCAATTAAGAAGAGAAGGTAAACCAGAAGTCTGTGAGTTATTTTTTGCTTATTTTAAGTACTACGAGTAGTACTTGTAAGTACTACACATACACATTGGCACATACTTTAAAAAGTATAATACTCAATATGCAGTGTTCACTTGAATTAAAATTGTAATCTACATCTAGAATTTGGGAGATTATCTTTAGTTTCATGATTGCTTCTGCAGAATCCTCTGAAAAGTTATTTTTAAAACATCTGTTCTTGTGAGATTAGACAGATGTTCATATTCTTTAAAGCAACCCCTATTTAATCATGTTTTTGGAATGGTTCAGTCGCTAACTTGATGTTGCTGGAAAAAAAGGATTTAAAGAACAGCCCTGTAAGTATGGAAAAAGCTAATTACATTTGTCAGTAAAAACACAAAATTTAAATATCAACTTTAATAAAAGATAAGTTAAAATTTTAATGTGCCTAGATTTCTAATTTTCACCAGTCAAATAAAATTATAAATTGCATCCATTGTTAAAATCTCTCACAAAATGCTGATCCTACATTATTATTCTGAATGTCTTATGCTTATTATCAGCTGTCTTTTTTTCATACTGTGTTTACACACACTCAAATAGATTTAGAAAACCTATGACAACATTTCCATATTGCCATATAAAGGTCTCTGGGAGGCAGATATAAACTTAAGAACAATCCTGAAGCCATAACTTTTTCCAGAAAACTATGCAATGCTTTTATTTTTAATGCTTCTTTACAGATCTAAAGTCAAATTTATTTTAGGTAAAAAACATTGCAACTTGCTTTGCTTATTAAATTATCATTAAAATTTTAAAACCATTTAACAGTAAACTCAGTAAATTTGTAATTTATTTCCTAATAAACTATGCCTTTAAAATTAACACACTAAATATGATTAAATACATTTTCCCCCATGGCTTCAGTAATTTCCAAAAAGTTTACAGCTGTACTTAAGCCTTCCTACTCTGTTTTTTAAGAAACAGTTTGGAAGGTATAAAGGCCAGATGGCAATTTATAAACATCTTGTCTGAAACATTTTATTTATAATTGTGAATAATTTCATAATCCAAAATTCATTTAAATTTGAATTAAACAAGCAAACAACCCAGAAAAACTAAATATATGGTCCTTGGAAAAAAGTGATTTTTTTCCCTGTATTTTTCTGTTTCTTCCAGGCCTTCACATCTCTAAGCTACCCAATATACAATATACAATTTTTATAAGTTAAACTTTTACTTATATTTCTTAGTCTTGTTGAAAACAGACTAATTAAATTTGTTAAAAGAAAGCCCAGAGATTCCTAAATCCCATTCTCAACATTTAAAAAAGAAAATAAAACAAGTTTTTGAGAATGGAAATAATCACTAATTATGTACTATATACAATAGGAAAGAGGTACCTGTGGCCCATGGGCCATATACAGCTCACAGGAGTATGTCAACTGACCTGCCATCTTCTTTCCTAGGTCTTGTCCCCTTTCCTAGGCAGGGAAAGCCACTGATCAGATATAAGTTTTCCCTGCTGAACAGTGGGAAAGATGGATATCTTGTAACTGTGCAGCAAGATAAACTACCTCTGATCAGCTGCTGACTGGAATGTTTTCCCTGCAAGAAAAACAGAAGAGTGCAGGACTGGTACTCAGGAGATCTGAGTTAGTCCCCACTCAGCTATGGAACTAACTGGGTGAGTTTAGACCAGTCAGAGTCTCTGTCCACAGGGTTGTTGTTGTGGGGTTAAGACTGAGAAGAGTATTATGCAAACCACTTTGAGTTCCTTGAAAGGGAAAAAGGTGGGATATAAATATAATAAATAAACCCATATTTCTAGAATTCAGAGTCACCCCATGAAGCTTGTAAGTGGGAAACTTGGGACAGATAAAAGGAAATACTACTTCACACAGCACATTCCTACACTGTGGAATTCATTGCCACAGGAAGTAGTAGCGACCACCAAATTGGATAGGTTTAGAGTGATTGGACAAATTCATGGAGAAGTATATTAGTGGGTATTAACCCTGTTGGCTTTGTGCTACCTTAGTTATCAGAAGCAGTATACCTACATATGCCAGTTGCTGAGGGGCTTGGCCAGATGAAACTATTGTACCCATCCTTGAAGGGATCCTATGGGCATCTGCCACTGTATGAACAGAGGGTTGGACTGAATGAACCACTAGTCGGCTACAGAGTTCCTTGGCAAAAGCAGAAACAGCCTGGGCTGCCAAGTGGCTCCTATACATACACAAGTGCCAGCAGCCACCAAATTGCCCAAGCACTTCCTCCTCCTCTTGCCATATTTGCTCTATTTCCCAGTCACAACCCTATCATAAAGGGACCCAATGTTTTAACAGTTGTCAAAACTTTTTTCCCTAGAAAAAGGGGAAGATGCATTTTTGCATTTTCCCGAGTACCTAAAGGCATGCAAAAGTGCAAAACCAGCACCACCATATTGACCAGTTGGGTGAGAGAAGATGCAGACCTTGCTACAAAAATGAGTGTCTTTTGACAACTGTCAACAAAAACCAAAGATGATAGAGGGGGTGGGGACACAATCTGGAGCTTTTTCTGGGCAATGCCTTTGATAATACCTGTTGCACCCTGGCAGCAGACACTTACTTGGCAGTGGCTCAGCTGTGAAGTTTTGCAGTTGTGAAAGTATGACTAAAACAATCTGTTAACCACATAGACAGTTTTTGGCTGTTGAGCAGCATACAGGAGTAATAATAAATACAAAACTACTCTTTATGCAGTTTTGTTTGTGCATTTTTTAAGGTTCTGGCAGTTACAGGCAGTCCCTCCAGGTTGCTGCTTGAGCTTTTTGAAGGGCTGTACATGGAGTAACCAAGGATTGTGAAAGTTAATCTGGCATTTGCAGTCTCTGAAAAGAAAAAAGCCATGATGAGGTGAAAATAATTTGTCATGATATTGGGAACCAAGTAGGCAACTCATCCTCTTGTGAGGTTCCCTAGAAAACCTTGGGAGAATCAAGGAAGAAGGCAGGGAAGCTGATTAAGTGTGGGTTGCTCACATGACAACCAACCTACCATGGTTTAGTGACAGAGCTATAGTGTGTGACACATGAATGCACCCACTGTAAGGCATTACATAATAGAAGCACCTCGGAAGAGTTGTTTATATATGTAAAGCAGTGTAGAGAAAAAAGTTAAGATGCTGACAAAACTGTCAACTTCGCTTTAATGAATTGAAATTGATTCTTTGTATCAAGTTCTATATGTTAATGACAAACATTTTTCTTGACTGAAAATTAAGTTTCCAAAGTCACCACTACCTCCAGTTGCTCGTGTTCACTCTATCTTAGCATGCTGGCAAGCAAATAACACTATAGAAATTATAGCATTTTCTCCTGGATTTTGAGAAAAATATATAATACTATAGATAAGACTGTTAAATTACTTTGATCACTATTAATGTTCCAAAAACATTTAAACCAACTTGTGTACTCACAACAGCAAATACTTGCCATGAATTCAAGCTACCAATAGTGCCTAAGGTGACAGAATTGGTTATCTCCTGCATCATCTTCCCTCAAACTGGTTCCCTAGAGATGTTCTGGATTACAACCTGCAGCATTCCTAGCCATAAGTCACCTCAATGAAGCTGATATGAGTTGTAGGCCAGAACCTACAATGTGGAACTATATTGCAGAAGGCTGGTTTTCAGTGTTGTGTTGTAGTTACCAGATGTTGAAAGTTTGTTTATAATATAAAAAGAGTTGAGCCAAGGTCAGAACAATCCTATGGCCACTAGACTTCATGTAAACAGCCAGAGGAATTTTCAGATCCCCAGCTACAAGGATGGAAAACTGCTCCATCCACTTAACTAAGGATATATACTCAGATTCTGCTCCCCATCCCCTCGAAGCCTGCAAGGAAAGAAGCATGTCCACTGCTTCTCTAAGGCTGGAAGAGTGGTCATGAAGAAGGGCTTTTGGGAGTGTTTGTGGGGAGCAGGGAAGACAAGGCAGCATCAAGATACAAGGTATCCTGCCTCCTTCCTTCCCATGCCCAAAGCAGTGCACTTAGCCAAAAATGACAGTTAAAGTGCTTTATAGGGTGAGCAGTATTCAGAGACAGCCTTCACTTCTGAGCCTCCACCTTCTGGAGCATGCCTGCAATCTCCTAAGTTCTGATGGTTCAGAGTTCAGAAAAATCCTAACTAGACTGTGCCTTAACTGTCTTACAAGAACAGACTACTGAAGGAAGAATTGATTTACTCAACTTTTTGGCAATAGCCCTATTCTACAGCCATCCTGAGAAAATCAGGCTTTCAAAAAAGCTTTTATTAGTGAAGATTCATTTTAGAAAAAAACAATTTTATAGATATCTTTACATTTGATTAGACAGTGAATGTGACTCCTTTGGCTCCGGTCTGTTGCCACCATTGAGATTTTAGACCTTCAGATGCCATCTTTAACATAAGTTAAAGCTTAAATTGCATGACAATAATTCACAGCTTTAAAACTGTGTTTTGATTTGAGGTTTTCTGGGGGCTGTGCTTCAAATAATTAAGTTTTGTTTTAATTAAAATTCCGGACCATTTTTGAGTGCAATCTGTTAAACAGACGAATGGAGCACCAAACAGGCTTATCGTATACCATAACCCACCATCAAATAAGGAAGAAAAAACCACTCCTATCTGCGTTCCAAACAAATCCGTTACCTGGCAATATTGCTATGCAGGAGGCAGACCATAAGAAGCCCTACGGTTACTAAAAGAAGGGCGCAGTTGTTCGTGCAAAGTGCTCTCCTTACGTTTTCACACGCCGGACCCCAAGGAGAACAATTCAATACACCAAAGCCCCAAGTCCCTCCGCCGTCAACTCTCCCCGCCACCACACGCGATTTTATTAGGATGCAGTAGATCAGCCATCAGACCAGCCACGCATGCGTGCTCGATGTTTATTAAAACTCACTGCGCCACGGTCGCCGGAAAACCCTTCCCTCGGGAAGGGAGTAACCTGAATGAGTGGCCCCGGGACGAGCACGTCTCGGTTGCCATTCGGTGCACGGGAGGCGGCCAAGTCCGCGCGCTACACTCTTCCGCCTGCCTTTGGAAGACCACCCCTGGCCACCGCCGCTGTTTCCAGAAAGTTCCAGCCGCACCACCCAAGAAGAAAAAGGACCGATGGCTGCGCCTGCGCACTAGAACCCTTTCGGTCTCCGCCCTCTAATCGTGTCAAAGCCCGTTATTTCCTTATCTCCGTGTGTGTAAGCTAAGAAGAAAGTTACATTTCTCTCTGGAATGCCTAGAACTTCTTAGAAATGTCAATTATGACGCCCGTCCCTACTGTTGAGTCTTCTTACCCCTCCTCCTCGTCAACTCTCACGACAGCAATGCATGCCTACCCGTTCTTCTGGCCCGTCTACGGTCACGTGAGAGGCGCTTCAGCCAATCCGAATGGCTAGTCACAAACCGACATTCTGACGGACGGGGGGGGGGAGACTGAGCGACTCAAGGGAGAGGGGAGCGACTGAGCCGAGGGGAAGGGGTGTCGTCAGAACCCGACTCTTCGCAACCGGCGTGAGACTCTGGGCGCCGCTAACTGGTAGGGGGTGACTGAGGAATTCGGCTCTCGTCTAAAGGACGGCACGTCTTGTGAGGAGACTACTTCCTTCCGCTGAGGGAAGGTAAGGAGAGGAAACATCCATTATTTCCACTGCAGACTGGGAGGGGGGGTAGAGGAGGCGGCGGCAATTGCGTGGATGACACCCCTTTTTAGGATCGGGATGAGGGCGAAAAGGCGAAACTGAGGGAGAAGCAGCAGCTGTTGCGATGGCTTTATGCTGGTCTGAGATTTCCCCCTTCCTTTCCTTGTATCACGCGTACGTGTTTGTCTGCCTCTTTCCTGCCAAGTGTGGCTCCATTCCTAGCCTTTTCTGATGTGGAGGTGAGTGTAGATCCGCCCCTTTCCGTGCCTTGCCATGGGTGTGTGTCGCTGTCCCCACGCGCCGAAGCCCATCCTAGTAAGAACCTTCCCTGTGGCTCCCTCAATGGGGGACGGAGTGGGGGCAGGTCTGGCTCGCCGATCAGTGAATCCGACTCCTTCGGCTCCGGTCTGTTGCCACCGGGCTTTGGCTGCGCGCTTGTGAAGGGAGCGAGAGCGCGTTCTCCCCCTTTCTTCCCACCCCTTTGCTCGCGCTGCCGTTCCTCGTAATGGAGGTGCCGCAGCTCCCTCGGTTTCATGCAACACGCCACGAACCCTTTCTTCCGTCTCCTGACACACCTTCCCTCGGTAGTCCCCAAGCTTCGGGTGCGTTGGAAGGGGATTGTCAGTCAGAAGAAAGGCTCTCTCTCTCGGCAGCCGCTTGCTCGCAGCCTGTCACGGTGCTTGCTGCAGCTGGAGCCATGGCTGCCGCTGCTGTCAACTGCTACTCTTTCCTTGTGGGGCTGTGTCCCTGGTATGTTTTCTCTCGTTTTCTCCGCCCCATGTCGAGGCTTCTATTTTTGTGGGCGAGCGCAGGGCAATCGTGTTCGGTAATAATGATAATGCTGATAGAACTGAGTGCTCTGGTCTGCAGCATTGTCAGCCTTTTTTAAAAGGAAGAGGCGGTGGTTAGCGCGCGCGCGCGTGTGTGTCTGTGTGTGTGTGTTGCGCGCTCCCTCCTGCGAGCGTTTGCGTATGTCTCTGCGAAGGCTTCCAGGGAGAGAAAGAGAAAGCAGTCAAAGAGAATGTGCTTTAAGTTCTAAAGAGTGGTTCTGGAGCTTAGGCGAAGAACCATGGCTGATTTCGTTCTGGTCACTAGGGTTTAAAAAATCGTAAAGCAGGGGTCAGAAACCGAAAAATAATAATACAGTACTCGCATTAGTTTAGCCAAGCCGGGTAGTCTAGCGTGCTGCAACGCAGACATCGCCAGGGTCCTGTTGTTGGTGAATTAAATGTGATGCTTTAGGTTATATCGTTCGTTTTCTGCTGTACTCGATGAGTGCAGTGCCTTCCGTTTCACTCGTGTGGGTGCTGATATTCCTGTTTCGCTTTTGAACATGAAACAGCATAAAAGTCAAAAGTAGGTGAAGTAGTAAGCACACCCTGTAACTAAAAATAGTCATGGTGTTTCTTAGAATTAAAACAAAAAGAAGCACGCTGAGAGCCATTGGTCTGGGTACAGTGTATTGATGCTTGGGTTTGGACAAACCCCTTTCCTTGTAAGCCCTGTTGACATTTTAATTGAATTAAAGACCTATGCACCTGATCTGGAAAGGATGTAGAAATGAAGATGGTCTAGTCCAGCTTCCTTCCTTCCGTATGCTTCTCTAAATAAGATAGATGGTTATTATTGAATTCCACTGCCCCACAATTTAGTAAATTTACCAGTTTGGTAAAATAATGCACAAGACTAATGCAAGTGAACCAGATCACGTACTACCTGTGGAGAGCTGCTATTCACCAGCTGCTCATGATTGCTAGCTTATCCAAATTGGGGAAATATTTAATTCTTTCTGATTTAAAATGTAGTGAGCAGTTGATTCCTGAGTGTGAACCAAACACAATCACTGAACATTTTCAAAAAAATGATTTTGAGGGATTCTTTCAGTGTAGATCCAGTTCACCTATAGCAAACTCTTGCAATTTCTGATCACTGTAAAAAAGGCTTAGCCTCCCAGATCTGAAGTAAGGTGTGAGGGATCCTTCAGGGCTCCAACACATCTTAGCTCAAAGACTGTTTAATAATATAAAGACTATTTGTTGTTACTGCCAGCTTCTGTTTACTATTCAGTGAACCAGGCCTCACAGATTCAGAATAGTGATCACTATTCCGCTCATCATACTGAGTTTATCATTAGAGATTATAATCAATAGCTGCATTTATGATTATTGACCTACATTTCCCCTCATGTTCTATTACCACTTCTAAATCTAATTATTGAGTTTACTCAGATGTCTTCTTTTTTCTATCAGGTGTACTTCTCTTAACCTTAACAAATGATTACTCTTCTGGTGTTATCCTGTTGCACATTTTTCATCCTTTATAAAATTTAAATTTGTTTCTGTTGAACATGAGTGCCCAGCACTGAACACAGTTTGAAAGGATGTCTCCCTAGCATATTACATTGTAATACTAAACTGTCCTAAAAAAATCCCCACACCTGCTTTTAGTAATCAGTTCTGCTTTGCTTACTGATGGACTATTTTGCTATCTCATCTGGTGCCATTTTATTCTGCTGATCCTTGTATGCATTTTAAATTCTTAATAAACAAAGAGGCCTGTTGAGAATATCCCATGAAAAGTGGAACTTTAGTGTGTGTGCATGCAGAGTGGTATGGTAATCATCACAGATGCTGTCTGTAACATGTTAATAAGCAACCTATCTTTCTTTAAAAAAAAGTCTTTACCCATTAAACTGCCCTTGAGATAATTTTTTTATTCATGCAGGGTAATTCCATTAAAGCATTTTAAAATGATGTTGTTTGAATCTCTTCTATCATGAGAGGAAGGGGAAAATACATTTCCCTTCAGTCTGAAGAAGTGCCATTTATATATCCATAATTTTGGTCTCTTGTCCTACATGCCAGATTCTCCTGCTTATTCTCAGAAACGTTCTGAAACTTGTGCATCATTTCTTTGCTTGACATGTATGCCTTGCACTTTGAATTGTGTTATTTATAAGAAGGCTTTGGTCAGCTGTTGAGGAGAAATGTATGTAATATAATTGTTACATCCATATTGTGTTAGCCACCAGTAGCTCTACCCATACCATAGAATGATGTGATGCTATTGTATGATGTTGGTCTGCAAGAAGAAAATATGTGTATAACTGTCAAGGTAATCTTGCTAGCTTTAAGCAGAAATCACCACCTCATATGACAGTATTGTTAGACTAATGTAGGTTTGAGTTGCAGCTGACCCACTGTTACCTTGTTACCTAACTGGGACATTTTTCCAGGGTTTTAGATTCTGGTTCCTAGTTGCGTTGCATGCATGTTTCAACCTGCTGTGCTAAAAAGCTTCAGAAATTAGACCAAGGAGGCTTTAAACACTGGAGTGAGCTACTGCAATATGGTCAGGACAGCAGTCTGTGGGACACCTGACATTACTGGTTTCCTGCCAAAAATTGGCAGCAAACTGCTACATTGTGCTACACTGGTTAAACTTGCCACATCTTCAAACTAAATATAACCATTTTGATACTTCATAGTGGCTACTAAGTGCTGAAAGGGACAAATCTAGCTGGCAAAGAAGCTAAATTTATTTATTTATTTATTTATTTATTTATTAAAACATTTTTATGCCGCCCCATTCGCCGAAGCCTCGATATAAGCCATAACATAAATTTCATGTTATGGTGCTCTACAGCCATTACAGAGGCAATTTTCCCAATTTTAATAATATTTTGGAAGGTAAAAGGGGCCACAACATGAAGCTCACTGGCCACATATTGTTTAGCAGCTTGCTTTAGTTGCTTTAGCAACGTTTAAAATCCAAATATTTACCAGAGTAATTAAAAAGCTGTATTCCCATTCTGATGGTCATGGTTATTATTGGACCATCCACAATTTATCATAAATATGCGTTGGAATAATGAAGGGGGAAAGCCCTTGTTTTAATTTTTTTGTTATCATCACGACTGTGTGGATCCATAGGCTATAACAGTACTGAGAGCTTCTTGTAGTCTTCAAACATACCACCAAAACTGGATTTATTTGTTATGACTGAGCTTTTCACATACTTGTTCCTTCTTCCTCTTCTCATATTTTCTTTCTTTCCTCAGACCTTAGTTTGAGGACTGAGTTGAGCAATCTACAGTTGGTGCAAACTATAACTTACCTCCATAGCAGAACTGGAAATCCAGTTTGAATCCTAGTTTCTAATTCTAGCATGGGGGTATGTTATTGTATTGGTTGGGTCAGATAGCATTGCAAAGTACTATTCAAACTAGGTAGAAGGTTGGCATGGATGTTAAGGAAAGAATTCATGAGCCCAAGGACAATCCATAGTTCAGGATGATCCACTTCTAAACCACATCTGAATCACCTTTTATTATGGTTATGTGGCCTCCCTGGTTCCCCAAATAATTGAAAGTTATAAAGAAACAATAGAGGAGCAGGCTCTTAAATTAAATAAGCAATTGGAAGGCTTAAGAGGTAAGATTGCCAATAATAATACAGTTATTATTTATGTTATTTCTATATTGCCCAATAGTTCTTAAATATAGCAACTATAAAAAGCAAAACAATTCCCATACACATAATTTTAAACAGAATTTAAAACAATTTGAACAACTAAAACAATGTATAAACACATAGAGATCCATATAATCGCTTCCCACATAGCATTAAATGTCACTGAATGCCTTGGACAGTTTACCTGGTGCCAGAAGTTGTTGCCAGAAGGGCCTCAGTGGGGAAATCATTCTATAAATGGGGAGTCACCACTGAGAGAAGTATTACACTCCCTCAGCTTTCCTTGGGGGTGGCACTTGGAGGAATGCTTCAGAGGTGGATCAAAGTGTCCAGATAAATTCAGGTAGGGAGAGGCAGGTATTGTCAAGTCTTGAGGTCCCAAGTTTAGAATTAAATGCAAATATTGGAACAGTAGTTTGTTATATAATACCAAAAATACAGAATTGGTTTGCTAGAAAACTGTGCCAAATAAATAGCAATTTAATTGGTAATTGAGAGAGATTAAGT